TCAACTCCCAGAATTCCCCAGCCAGCGAATGCTTGCTGGGGAACTCTGGGAGTTGAAGACCGTGACATCTTCAAGTTGACAAGGTTGAGAAACACTGGACTACGGGAAGAGACGTGGGGACCCTTGAGCATGCGAAGAGTGCCGCATCCTCCCCTCTTTCCAAAATGGAAAAAATAAAAAATTAGGATTTGATATTACACAGGTAGTCCTCGAGTTACGACCATAATAAAAGCCGGCCAGAACGGCCATTAGTGGACGTTGCAAAACCATCCTGACTTTAGGCGGGCATTAAGCAAGCGGAATTGGCTACGAGCGCAAATCTATTCTTGTAGAGTTTTGCAGAGGGAAAAAAAAGAGAATTTTTTCCGATTTATGACTGGGCCGTCATAAAACGCGTCCCTGCTAACAATTGTAGGTTGTGGTTGTGTTGCTCAGCCCCCCAAAAGGGCAATCATTCAACAACGTGGTGGGGCATATTGTCAAAACTTCCAGGTCATCAACTCCTCCTTTTTCAGGCAGGTGGTAACTTCGAGCCGTCGCTAAGCAGGCGGGTTGTAACTTGAGGACTCCCTGTTTATTTTCACCCTGGTTTCTTGGTTTCTTTTTTTCCTAGAGCCGAGACGGAGCGAGGACTTTCCAGAAAGCACATTATAGAAGGTAAATAAAAGTGGATTCCTTCCGAAAACGGCCGTTCCCTGTTCAAAAGCCAAGTTTTGGGTACACAAGAGTCCATCATCCCCTTCACAACACCCCGTTCTCTGCACAGGTAGTCCTCAACTTATGACCCGCGATTCGGCCCGTAATGTCTGCTGCCGAGGGAGGCGGTTTTGTCCTGTTTTACGGCTTTTCTTGGCACCGTTGTTAAGCGAATCCCCGCCGTTGTTAAATTAGGAACACGGCCGTTAAGTTAATCTGGTTTCCCTTCCTCGGGAGGTTGCAAAAGGAGATTGCGTGACACACACACACACACACATACACACACACGGGGTGGGACGCTGCGACCCGTCATAAATACGAGGCGGTGGTCGGAATTGTGATCCCGGGCATGCTGCAGCGGTCATAAGTGTGAAAAACGGTGAAAAAAAGTCGCTTTTTTCCTGATGTCGTTTCGAACCGAATGGTTGTAAGCCGAGGACTTAACCGCTGCAGTGATTCGCTGGACAACCGCTTGCGAGGAACGTCGTAAAATGAGACCAAACTCGATTCAGCGCTGTCGTGCCTCAGCAGGACAAATTTTGGGCCTCCGTTGTGGTCGTAAGTTGAGGACTACCTAAATTTCCTGATCAGGACAAGGAATGGTTAGAAATGAAGCTCATGTCCATCTCTTGTATTGCATCGTATTTTTATTTTATTTTTTAATAATTGCATTTGGGTCTTATTGAAAGGGAGAATAAGGCGTCGTCTTTCTCCCCCCCCCGCCCCCCCCCAGGTTTAAAGGGGTCCCTAGAAAGGCTACAACTGAATTACGTGGACGTGGTGTTTGCCAATCGGCCGGATCCTAACACACCAATGGAAGGTAAGGTATAATTTGGTTTTTGGCTCAAATTTCTAAAGAACAAGAAGCCTTTTAATTTCTCTTGGCGAGGCCCTTAAAAAATTGTTATACCTGCGGCCGTCCGATTCTTCCCTTTTGAAAGGTTCGTGGGCTTATTTCTCGGCCCTACAGGTAGTCCTCGACGTACGGCGATTCATTTAGCGGCCGTTTGGACTGGGCGCTGACAAAAGGGATTTACAACTGGTCCTAGCAACAACAGTCGCAGCTTCCCTCGATCCCGTGATCGTGGTTAGGCGCTCGGCAATTGTCACGCATTTGGGACAGTCAGGAAGCGCTGGGGACGCCAGCGGGAAGTCGAAAGCCGACGTCATTTATTGTTTAGTTACGATTGGATTTACTTGGTGGGGTGGCCTAGAGGTGGCGCTCTCGCCTCACAATGGGGAGGGTGTGAGTTCGAACTCAGGTAGAGGCACGTGTTTCTCTCTCTGCACACGTTGAGAATATACCTGCTAAACAGAACTCCCCATTGGCAACTGGAAGGGCATCCGGCCATTAAAACACCCAGCTAGCTCCACTCAGTTTGCCCAGACTCCTCCCCACAAGGGATTATGGGGTCGCTAAAAGGTGATGATTGGATTTATTGGCCGACCTTCCCCGCCGCAGTGCGACTCGTGCGATGCCTTGCGTAACGGAGGGAGGTAAAATCAGGGGCAATCTCGTGATGCCTCACTTAACACCCGCACCACTTAACAATGTTTCTTCCCCCCTCCCTTCGGTTCTTAATGGCGGTCTAGCGGTATCAATTCTACCCATCAATCCTTTGTCCGAGCCACCGTTTGCGTGGACACGAAGGAGATGAGGACTCGCTCAGAGGCACAACGGGCAGCCTCGTCTAAGGGCGAACGGGTCCCTGGGGACTCTGAACTGACGCGGGGGACGAGGCTCTGGGTTCCACCCCACCAAAACGGGGGCAAAGAGATTGTGGTAACTTGCCTTAAGGGAGGACGTGATGCCGTCAGAAATTCAACGGCGTTTGTCAGAGGCTGATTGGAAGGTTGTCCAACCAGTGATTCAGGCAGAGGTGCAACAGGCCGCCTCCTATCTAAGCGGGGGGTGTTTTTTGATGGGTCTGTGTTAGCCAGATTCCTCTCCCCGCATAGACGCCGATGCCTGAGTCTTTTCCTTTATTCTGACCATCCTCGTCGGAAGTAAATGAGCCCACATGCTACAACCGTCATAAGTACAAATCGCAATCACGTGATCTCGGGGAACGCTTCGACCAGTCCTAAGTGCGACAACCAGTTTGAGTCCCTTTTTAGAGCACCGCCGTAACTCGAAACGGTCGCTAAACGAAGAGCCTCTCGAGAACGAGACGAGCGGCCCGTAAATTTAACGAACGGGTCATAAGTCAAGGACTGCCTCGAATGACCGGCTTTACCCAAGCCAGAGGACGAAGGTGACAAAAAAGGAGCCGAAATGTGGATGAAGTTGGGTTAGGAGTTCTGGGGCTCAGAGGCGTTGTGCGAACCCCGTCTTCTGACTCTCGCGAAAAGATCCTTTGAGAAAGCGCCATGCGGCATTGCGAAGGACAACGCGGCCTTGTTAGAAGTCTCGAAGGACGAAATCGGGAAGCGCTTAAGTAGACTCGTTCCGACCTCTCGAACGAGATCCCGTCCGTCTCTTCCCCGAGGACCAGGGCTCGAATTAGGGGAGGGGGCTGCTCCTCTGCCCCTCCCACTGGATGAAAAAGCAGGGTGACCCACTCTAAACTCTTGCCTCTCTCAAATCTGTTTTCTATCACCAGGGGACCCATTTAGTTCCAAGTCGCGAACATTCGTCATAGAAGGTACCCCTCCTTGATTAACTGCATCCGAGCGGCATTTTATGAGACAGAAATCCCCAGCTTTCCCTTCCTTCCTTCCTTCCTTCCTTCCTTTTTTCCTTTCTTTTCTTTTTAATTCTTCCTCCCTTTTTCGCTTTGGAGACTTTTCGTTCTGATTGGCAGAAACTCCCTTTCCTCAGGGGATGAGACTCGCCATAAAATGCCAAAGGACGCAAAGAATGAAAAAGGAATATCAGAATAATAATAATAATAATAATAACAACAACCTCTCTGTCCCCTTAGTTAACATCTTGCAAGTAACGTTGAAAGCACAAAATGCTTTTATTTAAAACGAGAAATTATTGGGGCTCCTTCCTTCCCTCTTTTTTCCCTCAGGGGTCTCATTTCGCCCTCTTCTGACTTCACAACATGTGGCATCTAACGAAGCCCCCTCCCCTGGCTCCTGCAAGCTCTCTTACCTGATTATAGCCTAGCCAGTTTCTCCAGAAAGTGGGGTGCGTGGGGATTTATTCGCCCTCTGTCGTAAATCTGTGTGACTTCCTGTAGATTCCGCCCTGGTTAGGAGTTGGATTTGACGTTCTCGATTCCAACTTCAACATCCTACAGTTCAATGCGAACCCAGCCACCGCATTCTGTGTAATTGGTCCATCACGGTGGCCTCTCCTCACCCCGCATGGTCCCGTTGGAAGGAGCCTGATCAGAACGGGGATTCTCCTAGAAAACGAGGAGAACATTTCTCCAACCATTCTTGGTCACCCAACCTTGGAGCACCTGTTCCTCAGTTAGATACCAACTGGAGAACATCATTTCCATGTTCAGTGTCAGGTTCCCGCCAATCTAAGAGAGATACCCAGCGGGACGTATCCACCATGTTTCTGGATCCTCTTTTAAGAGTGTTGAGGTTGATGGCCATCAACTCAGAACGTTCTGGAACCTCTTGTCACTGGTTGTCCTTCTTGGGAGATCCCTTCAGAAGATCGCCCATCAAAAGTCCTCCATCTATGTCCCCCTGTTTTGTCGTAGTCTTATCCTCCCTTGTGTCCATCTGTTGGGTCGGGGAAAAGACATTTCAACAAAACAAGCCGTTTTCATAGCCGATTTTCTCGCGCGAAAGTTCTCCCGTTCCTTCCGGTTTTTCCGAGATCTCGATTTGCTTGCAAGATGTCGCCCGACCTCCTACCTTCTCCTCCTTCCCTTTCTCCTGTTTGGTGTTGCGCCCTTAATTTCGGTTGGCCGGCCTTGTTTATTTTGCCACTCTTCCGATTAACCCTTTCTCGTTTTTCTCTCCCTGTCATCTCGTTCCTTTCCCCCACCCCCACTCCCAGAGACCGTACGAGCCATGACGCACGTCATCAACCAAGGGATGGCGATGTACTGGGGGACTTCACGGTGGAGTTCCATGGAGATTATGGTACTGTACCTCTTGCGAATCCAATCGATTTAAGAAAAATAAATTGAGGATTTTTCTCGCTGGATTTGATTTTGTCCAGATGGAGAACAAGGTCATGGAGTCCTAGACAAAACCAGAACTTGGTTGTTCTTTCCCAGCGGTTTTTCTTTCACATTAGAATAGAATAACAGAGTTGGAAGGGACCTTGTAGGTCATCTAGTCCAACCCCACCCCTCCCAAGCAGGAAACCCTACACCATTTCTGGCAAATGGCGGTCCATCCAGGGATGAAGCTCCCACAACTTCTGGAGCCATGGGGGGGAATCGCCATGAACTCGCACCCATTTCTCCTCCGATACGCATTTTTCCACTCGCTTTATTTCGCCTCTTGCCCCCACCGCATTTCCACAACATGTGACGGTTTTGTGCAGAGGCCCTTGTTTAAAATCCAGAGAGTCACAGCTAGTCCTCGACTTAACAAAAGTTCATTTAGTGACCGTTCAAAGCTACGACGACACTGAAAAAAGTGACTTGCGACCGTGACGTAGGACCATTGCAAACCTCCCCGTGGTCATGTGATCAAAATCCAGACGCTTGTGCAACCAGTTCCTACTTAACAACGGTTGCGGCGGCGGCCCAGGGTCACGTGATCCCAGAAATTTGGCCTGATTCACTTAACAAATGTGTTACTAACTTAACTTTAGTGATTCACTTAACAATTGCAGAAATTGTAAAAAGAAAAATGTGGCAAAATTCACGGGTGTTTCGCTTAGCAACATAAATTTTGGGCTGAATTGTGGGCGTACACCGGGGACTACCTGAATTTGTAGTCCGGGTGGGTGGGGTGTTTTGATAATAAAGATAGGAGCCGGTTTGTCCACCCAAGAGATTCTCGCCAGGGATGGGATCCCTTCCCGTTTGCAGATTCTGAGTTGATCTCTCCCCGCAGGAAGCCTATTCTGTCGCACGGCAGTTCAACCTGATCCCTCCGATTTGTGAGCAAGCCGAATATCACATGTTCCAACGGGAGAAGGTCGAAGTTCAACTCCCAGAGCTGTTCCACAAGATCGGTGAGTTTGAGTTTCAGTTTATTAGGACTTGTATGCCGCCCACTCTCGAAAGACTCAGGGCGGCGGCTTACAGAAAAGCCTCTCTACTCTCCCATTCATCGCAGGGTGGTGTGCTACCACTAAAATATCCGATAAAACAAGAGTCGAAAGGGCCCTTGGAGGTCTTCTAGTCCAGCCCCCCCCCTGCTCAAGCAGGAAATCCCATTCTTTACCTTCCCTTTATTCAGGTTGCAGGAACATAGACTCATAATATTTAGTCGGCTTAGTGGCGTGCGGTGTTCAAGAACACGAGAACGCTTAAAAATTGGCTTTCTTAGTCCTGGGTTTTTTTAAAAAATGAGTTTAAAATAGGAAAAAAAAACCACAAAGCACCACTAGAAGTCTCTTTTCTAAAGTACAGGCAGTCCTCAAGTTATAACGGTTCATTTAGTGACTGTTCGAAGTTACAGTGGCCCTGAAAAAAGTGACCTAGGATTGTTTTTCCCAATTATGACCGTGGCGGCATCCCTGTGGTTACATGATCAAAATTTAGAGGCTTGGCAACTGGCACGTACTTAACGACGGTTGAGTGTCCCGGGGTGACGTCATCCCCTTTTGCGACCTTTTGACAAGCAACGTCGCGGGGGAAGCCACGCCCACTCAACAACCCTGGGACTAACTAAACAAGCGCAGGGATTCACTTAACGGTGGCAAGAAAGGTCATGAAAAAGGACAAAACTCACTTCACAACTGTCTCCCTTAGCAATGGAAATGCTTGGCTCAAATGCGGTCGTACGTTGAGGACTACTGATCCCTTACGACGTGGCTTAGCTTCCTCCGGCGTTCAGGAAAACGAGACGGCTTAGAAACTTGCCTTGGTTTCCGATTCCTTGTAATCTGGGTTTGCCGTTGCTCCGCCGTGCGACCTCACCGCCATCTCTTTCCTTCCCAGGCGTGGGGGCCATGACGTGGTCCCCGTTGGCGTGCGGGATCGTGTCGGGGAAGTACGACGGCGGGATCCCCCCTTACTCGCGAGCGTCACTCAAAGAAAGTAAGCCCGTCGGCTTCCTCCTCCGTATCCCGCCTGACTCCCGGGATGCTCCCATCCCCCGTGGCCTCTTCCGCCTTCTTCCCCCCGCCTAGGGTTAC